CATAGCCATCATTGTACTTAACAATGCTTTTGCCCTAAGATCACAAGCAAAGCAAGGATGTTTGCTCTACCCCTTCAACATGGTACTGAAAGTCAGAGCCATTAAATACATTAAGACCAAAAAAAGAAAAAGCATCAGGCATATAAATTGGGAAAGAAGAAAAAACTGTCTTTTGTGCAGACATGACTGTCTATGTAGAAAATCCTAAAGACACTACAAAAGAACTACTAGAACTAATACAACTTAATACAGTCAATAGATACAAGGTCAATATAAAAAAAATAAACTGTATTTCTACATATTAGTAAAATATGATTGGAAAATGAAAATTTAAAAATACCACTTGCAATCATAACCACAAACATAAACTACTTAAGGATAAATTTAATAGGATATGTGAATGAGCCATACAATGAAAACTATAAAACATAGTATGGGGTTGAATTGTGTCTCCCCAAAAGATATGTCAAAGCCCTAACCCCAGGGGGCCTGTAAATGTGACCTCACTTGGAAACAGGGTTTTTGCAAATGTAATCAAGTTAAGATGAGGGCATACTGTGTTAGTGTGGGCTCTAAATCTAATGACTGGTGTCGTTCTAAGAACAGGGAAACTTTGACACAGACACAGAAACACACAGGAGAGAAGGCCATGTGAAGATAGAGGCAAAAATTGGACTGATTTATTTGTAAGCCAAATAACACCAAGGATTGTTAGCAACCACTAAAAAGGAGCTAGAAGAGGCAACTGCCTCCTGGGAACAAGGCCTTGCTGACACCTTGATTTCAGACTTCCAGCCTCCAGAATTGTCAGACAGATAATTTCTGTTGTTTTAAGCCACTGAGGCTTGGATGCTTTGTTTTAACAGCCCTGGGAAACTAATACATGTGTTTACAGATTGGTAGACTCAAAACTGTCAATTTTGGAAGACTCAATATTGTCAATTTTCCCTAAATTGTTCCATAAATTTAATGCAGCCTCAAATCCCAGCAGGCTTTTTTTTTTTTTTTTTGATGCTCAACAAAAGCACCAGAGTAATTCAGGGGAAAGTATAGTAGTGTTTTCAATAAATGACACTGGAAAACTATATAAATATTTTTAAAATGAATCTCAACACTCAATCTCATGCCATACAAAAAATTGAAAATGAATTTTATATTTAAACATAAGGACTAAAATAATAAAATTTCTAAGAAAATGTATGAGAATATATCCATAATCTAGGGTTAAGTAAAAATTTCTGGACACAAGAACACTAATCACAAAAGAGAAAAATGTGTTAATTGGATTTCACTAAAACTAAAAATCTCTGTTGTTCAAAACACAGTGTTAAGGTATAAAAAGGTACAGACTCAAAGAAAATATCTGTAATACGTAAGTCTGATAAAGAACTTGTTATCAAAATAAGGCAGAAAAGAATTTGTATCCAGAAATACATAGGTTCATGCAATTCTCCTGCCTCAGCCTCCTAAGTAACTGGGACTACAGGCAGGCACCACCATGCCCAGCTAATTTTTGTATTTTTAGTAGAGATAGGGTTTCACTATGTTGGCCAGGCTGGTCTCGAACCCCAGATCTCAGGTGACCCACCCGCCTTGGCCTTCCAAAGTGCTGGATTACAGGTGTGAGCCACTGTACCAGACCATATTTAAAACTTAGTAAGACAAATAACTTAATAAGACAAACACCCCAATTTAAAAATACAACCTAAAGATTTAAACAGATAAGTCATAATAGAAGATACACAAATAGCCTATATGCATATGAAAAGATGCTTAACGTATTTACTCATCAGATAAATGCAAACTACTGTACAAGATACTATTACACATCCACAAGAATGGCTAAAATTGAAAACTAATAATATCGAGTGTTGACAAGGATATGGAGCAATAGAATGCTCATACTAATGCAAATATGTATCTGAAAAATAACTTGAACACAAATGTTCGTACCAGTTTTATTCCTAAAAGTCAAAGCTGGTAACAACATAAGCATTCAACAACTGATAATGGATAAGTAAATTGTGGCATATCCACACAAGAGAATACAACTCAGCAATAAGATGGTGCAAACTACTGATACATGCAATGATATAAATACATATCAAAAACACTGAGCTAAGTGAAAAAAAGCCAGGGGGAAAAAAGTACACTCTATGATTCCATTTATGTGAAGTTCTAAACAGGAAAAACTAATCAATAGTGCTAGAAGTCAGATCAGTGGTTTCCTGGGGCAGAAGCTGGGGGGAACCTGTGGCAAAGGGCCCCAAAATAACTTTTTGGAGTGACTAAAGAGTACAATATCTTGATTGTAGTACTAGTTGCATGAGTGTACCTGCTTGTTAATCAAACTGTATGTATATTATCCCTCAAAAAATTGAATTTCATAAAAAGAAGCAAAATCCATCCCACCCTCCATTCCCACAGGAAATTTAACATAATTATTAATAGAATTCACAGTTAAATTGGGAGGGACGAGAGAGTTGAGACCAGAGAAGTAATCAAAACTGTCAACCGTAACATGGAGTCTGAATTGCATGCAAAGACAAAGGAAAGTCACCAAGAGGTTTCATCGAGGAGATTAATACACAAATTGCATTTTAGAACAAATACTCTTGGTCCCAGAGTGGAACGGATTAACACAGTGGAAGACTTCAGTCTTTAGGGAGATCTGTAAGAAAGTTACTGCCTTAATCCAGAAAAGAAGATGGTCTAGACCAGGGTAGTTGACAGGAGAATAGAGAAATGTGATTAAGATTTAAGAGGTTGATTGGCTTTAAGGTTTCAGGAGAGGTTAAGTGCCTGGACATGAAGGACAACTAAGTGGAAATGTTCGCTCGTGGCTGAGCATGGGTCTCAAGGCTTGGAAAGAGAGCTGGGCTGGAGAGAGGGACTTGGAGTAATCCTCTACCAATCAAGACTGGTAAGTAGGATTACCCAAGAAGAGGAGAGAAAATGGCTAAAACCAAAACCTCACAGACAGAAAAGGACTGGGAGCGCCAAAGGCTAAAAACTTACAAATGTAACTAATCAAACTAAAGAGCAGCCTCCTGAAGACAGCTATGTTTTCAAACAGAACAGTGAGTCCTTAGACTCCCTTTTTTAGGGACTTGCAAAGGAAAATCCTTAAGTTCCTTCAAGGGAAACTCCAGGCATCTATCTGGCCCCAGAGGTTAACTACTTTACTTGTTAAACAAGAAGGTAATAGTAGTTTAAAACAATAGCCAAGGAAGTTAAAGCTCCAGAGATGTTTGCTTTCCCTACAGAAACTAAAAATAACATCTGAACATATGTCCCTGAACTGTCTCTCAGAGGCTCAGACCCCACTGAGGACCTCCACCTAACAGATCCACTGACACCTGGAGTCCAGGTAAGGGGAAAGTGAAAACTAAACTTTATAACTCACTTTTTATTCTAAGTTTCTTTCTGTAGCACTTGGGGAAAGTCACACCCCCAGCCAGTTAACATTTTTTCTACTGACTTTAAATTTTTAAACAAAGCTTCTCTTCCTTAACTAATGGCAAATCAGAAGATATTTGAATCTACCTACAACATGTAAGGCCCTGCTTCAAGATATCTCAACCTTTTAAACTTAAACCAACGTGTTACCTCCCTGTACTGATGTATGATTTTTGCCTGTAGCTTCTGCTTTCCTGAAACTTACCCTGCATTTAAAAATCCTTGCCTGCAAGCTACCCAGGAGGCGAGGATTTAAGCATTTAGCTGCTGGTCCTCCCTACTTAGCACTCTGCAGTAAACACCTACTGCTGTGTTCCTCCCTGTGGGTATTTGGTTTTACTGTGCCAGGTGAGTGGGCCCCAGTTTGGTTCCATAACATTCTCTCTCACACACATACATACCAATAACATTCCTCTCCCTCTCACACCTCAGTAAGGTTAAAAACAGAAAGAAGCCACTTTGAATACAATATGAAAAGAAAGTGACAAGAAGGCCCTTGCTCAACAAACATCAAACAGAATCTCCTTTTAGGACTTAAAGTTTATTCCAGTGCTAGGCTAGAAAAAGAACATTAGGTTCAAACCCTCTCCATCCCACAACCTGCTCCTTTAGTACCTTCAGAAGATGAAAGCAAGCTACTGCAGCTAACATCAAAAATTCTTTCATTCAAATCTAAAACAGACACGGAACAGACACTGACTTGGCAGTCAAAAATACATGGTGACAGAATCAGGTACAGTCCTGCACCCCTTTTGTCCCAGCCACTCGGGAGGCTGAGGCAGGAGGACCACTTGAGCCCAGAAATTTAGGCTGCGGTGGTCTGATCGCACTTTTGACTAGTGACTCCACTCCAGCCTGCGCAACATAGTGAGACACTCCAAACTGTACAAAAAATAAAAAGACACTAACCAAAACAAAATCTGTGTTCTGATTATTATTATTTACTGGGTGGAGTGAATGAATGTGTTTTGCAAAGTCTCTAAGAATGCTTCCATTTCCAACAATGGGCTAGTTTAGAGACCCAACTCTACCACCGAAAACAACTAAAAATGCTGGAAAATATTGAAAATATCTGAAATGAATCCATGAGCAGTTAAGAAAATAAGTAATCTGGCAAAAACAGTAAAACCAGGAATGCAACAAGTAATCAAAGTACTGAAGCTGGCTTTCACCTCAATGTCAAATTAAAGTGGGTGAACCTGAGTTTTAGGATTTTCACAACCTCATGGGTCAATGGAACAAAAAACAACAAAGCCCAGGATCTGGCCAAAGTATGGAGCACCTCCCAGTAACTCTTCCTAATGGAGTAAAATGAGTATTAATTATTACATTCAACACTCATTTTACAAAAACAGCTTGAGTCAAAAATAAATAAATAAATAGAAAGAAATAATATATAGCTTGAGTTAAATCATATGCAATTTGATAACCATCAGTTAGGAGAACATGATACAAATTTATGCAGGTTGGCAAAAAGATAGTCATCTCTTGGATTTGCTACCCATTTTGATGAACTTAATTGCAAAGGCAATTAAGACTAACTGCAATGCAACTTAAGGAACTCTAACTAGAACAATATATAAAAAGCAGTTTAGTAAGATTCAGAAAAAGCTATTTTCTCTTAACACCATTTGTTTACATTTAATAAAGTAAGAGAACACGAAGCCTTCTGTATTTAGCACATGTAATTATAACACTTTGTTTAAAATAGAAGAGACAAAGAATTAAGACAGCAAAAATAACTTAATTTGCATTGAAGTACATGGTACTTCTTGTTCAAAAGAAATTCATTTATAATCAACACTCTACAAAGAAATTTAAAAGTTAAGCCATATCATCTGACATCACAAAACTTTCTCATTAAAAAAATACTTTGTTCACAGACATAGAAAGTAGAACAGAGGTTATCAGAGGCTGGGGAGAGCAGGGAATATCAAGTTATTGTTTAAGGGGTACAGAATTTCTGTTTGGGATGATAAAAAAGTTGAGGAAATTTATAATGGTGATCACTGAACAACATTGTGAATGTACTTAATGCTACCCAAATTGTGCACTTCTAAATCGTTAAAATGAAAAGTTTTACGTTAGGCATATTTTACCACAATAAAAACAACGCAAAAGAAAGAAATATTTTCATGCAATTCATTGAAGTTAGAAATTCTCTCTAGTCTGAAATTCATGCAAACAAATGTGCTCTTAAAATTGGACCAGGGGAGCACTGCCTTTGGTCATCCGATCACTGATTCAAATCCAGTGTTTACTCTTCCTAACTACAGAGTCTTGATACAAGTTGTATTTTAAACCTCAGTTTTCTCCACCAGGATAATGAAAAAGTACCTGAACACAGGATTAAAATAGATAGTGATGATATTCATAAAGATAATCCAGGAAGTTAATCAAGGTGTTTTTATCCAGTTTTCTCCCAAGTCCAAATAAAGTCATCAACTAAAATTTGCAAACCTTAAAAATCATCTCTCTTTAACTAGTATGATATAGTTTGGGTATTTGTCCCTACCCGATCTCATGTTGAGATGTAATCCCCCATATCTGAGGTGGAGTCTGGTGGGAGGTGTTTGGATCATGGGCGTGGATCCCTGATGAATGGCCTAGACCATCCCCTTGATGATAAGTGAGTGTTCTGAGTTCACTCATCTGGTCGTTTAAAAGTGTGTGGCAGTGTGGCAAACCATCATGTTTACCTGTATACCTACGTAACAAACCTGCACATTCTGCACATGTATCCCAGAACTTAATTTATTTAAAAAATGTGTGGCACTTTCCCTTCCCCACCCACTCTCTCTCTCTCTCACTTGCTCCTGCTTTTACCACAGGATGTGCCTGTTCCCCTTTGCCTTCTGCCATGATTGAAAGCTCCCTGAGGCTTCACTAGAAGCCAAACAGATGTCAGCACCACGCTTCCTATAAAGCCTGCAGAACCGTGAGCCAATTAAATCTCTTTTCTTTTCTTTTTTTTTTTTTTTTGAGACGGAGTTTCACTCATGTTACCCAGGCTGGAGTGCAATGGCGCGATCTCGGCTCACCGCAACCTCCGCCTCCTGGGTTCAGGCAATTCTCCTGCCTCAGCCTCCTGAGTAGCTGGGACTACAGGCATGCGCCACCATGCCCAGCTGATTTTTTGTATTTTTTAGTAGAGACAGGGTTTCACCATGTTGACCAGGATGGTCTCGATCTCTTGACCTTGTGATCCACCCGCCTCGGCCTCCCAAAGTGCTGGGATTACAGGCTTGAGCCACTGCGCCCGGCCCATTTTTTTTTTTTTTTATATATTTTTTTTGAGACGGAGTTTCACTCTTGTCCCCCAGGATGGAGTGCAATGGTGTGATCTTTGCTCACTGCAACCTCCACCTCCCAGGTTCAAGTGATTCTCCTGCCTCAGCCTCCCAAGTAGCTGTGATTACAGGCACCCACCACCATGCCTGGCTAATTTTTTTTTTTTGTATTTTTAGGAGAGACCAGGTTTTGACATGTTGGCCAGGCTTGTCTAGAACTCCTGACCCCAGGTGATCCACTGACCTCATCCTCCCAAAGTTCTGGGATTACAGGTATGATACTGTGCCTGGTCTAAACCTTTTTTCTTTATAAATTTCCCCGTCTCAGGTTATTTCTTTGTAGCAAAGCAAGAATAGCCTAATACACAGTGCTTTGATAATATATTCAGGTATATCAACGATTTGACCCAATTCTTTAAAATGATTTCTGCATCTCTAAAGAGCAGACATGACTCAACCTTGTTCCCTTTCCTCCCATTTACATGGCCAGCTTCTCTAAGTTACAGCAAGAGACAGACATGGTATTTTAAAAGGAAGTAAACTGAAGATTCATTATCAAGTAAAAGTTTGACCACAGTGCTCCCCTTTTCAAGTTTTGGCTAGCCAGCACTTATGGTACTCAACGTAAGAGTCAATTTTCAGTCATCTGCATCAACAATTAGGCATGCATTTACATATGTGAAACCAGTCAGAAATTTCCCCAAGTGTTTCAGAGTCTAAATCACAAATTTACTCTTAGGAGACAAGACATGGCCAGCATAGGTAGTGTTTAATCTTTTGAAGAATGACAAATCCCTTTTAATGGAAAAATAGCTTACACACACCCACATGATAGACCTTCTTCTTCTGGTAACCACTGACTGAGAACAGCACAAAATAACATTATTGTGCTTTTTTCACAATTATTATTTTTTATTCACAAATAATATTATTGTGAATTTATGTTTAAATGGATTTAATTCATCACAACAGTATTTATATTTAAAATATGCTTGTATATATGTAAGAGGTTTTTTTAAGTTTACTGTTTGAAATATACATGAATTCATGAAGCTCCCGTCAATTACCAAATTCTCTTGGGATTTGTCACCAGCAGTTGGGAACACAGGACAGAAGATAAGACTGGAAGAACAAACCAGCAGAGGCAAAGTGTGTGTATATGCATACATCCCTCCCTGCACCTCCCCTACACACATACATGCACACTTTAGAAAAAATATGCATCATTCAGTATACCAATATATCTCTTTTAATATGCTGATATAATTCAAACTAATATAACAAAAATCTATATGACCAAGGTTTAAAAAAGGACACAACAAAGAACACACGATATTTAAACCTTATCAAATTATATACACCAGCACTTTACCACACATCCTTCTCTAGCCAACAGCATGATATTTTGTAATACAAAGACAGAATATCATTTTTAAAGTATCTCTCATGGTACAAACTTAATTCTAATATTTCATTTTTCACCTTAAACCTACCCTATTTTCAGCCAAATAATTATTCATGATTTCCTGAACATGGCTTAGGCATTACCACTGCCATACTTTTACCCAATTTATTTCCTCATCTAGAATGAATTCCCTCCCTCCCAAGAAAGTCGTGTCAACTTTAACATCTCTAACATGGAGGTACAAAGAGAAAAATGAAATTCAGTCATATTTGGACACCAGAATTGCTTATTTCAAGATTTACTGGAGAAGCTTTAAAAACCCCAAAGTAACCACACTGCTCAATGAAATAAGAGAGGACACAAACGGATGCAGAAACATTCTATGCTCATGGTTAGGAAGAATCAATACCGTGAAAATGGCCATACTCCCAAAGTAATTTACAGATTCAACGCTATCCTCATCAAGCTACCAATGACCCTCTTCACAGAACTGGAAAAAACCACCTTAAACTTCATATGGAACCAAAAGAGAGCCTGCATAGCCAAGTCAATTCTAAGCAAAAAGAACAAAGTGGGAGGCATCACACTACTGGACTTCAAGCTATAATACAAGGCTACAGTAATCAAAACAGCATGGTACTGGTACCAAAACAAGAGATATAGACCAATGGAACAGAACAGAGGCCTCGGAGGCAACACCACACATCTACAACCATCTGATCTTTGACAAACCTGACAAAAACAAGCAATG